TAACATTTCATTCATTTTTTTTTTCAAGTTTAATAACTTTGTATCAAACTGTTAAAAAATTCAAATTAATTATCAACACATACAGCAGAAACAGGTTCAGTGTACATTTAAAAGAATGCACATATCATCTGTACTCTAACAGGAACATCTAGATCCTTTTTACACCAGCAGGAACATAATGTTCACCAACAGGGATAGAATGACAGATTTAGCTACATCTAGGGTTTAATAACAACCTATCCATCTTCTGTATACTAACTAATATCTGAAGTGAGGTAAACCTCAGGGCTCAGTGTTAGAACCTTTGCTCTTTCTGTTTTACATCAGTGACATAGACGAAGGAATGGTCAATAGATTATTCAAATTTGCTGATGACATTACAGTTTTGGGTATTGCTGGCTGTGGGGAGGATGCTTCTGCTTTACAAAACAATTTGGATTATTGGGCAAGTTGAGCAAATAAATAACATAATTATAATAAATGCAAGGTAATGTATGTGGGATATCACAATATGAATTAGTACAATTCTGATGGGAATAGCCTTAACTATATTATGGAAGAGTAATGTATTCAGCCTTGGGTTCCTTACCTTCGAAAGAGCATTTAACTGTAGGAAAGTGTTCAGAGGAGGGTCACTAGGATGATACCCATAATGGAAAGGTTGTCATATGAGGATAGGTTAAGATCTCTGAAATTTTTTTTCTCTTTAAAAGGAGATCTGATTGAGGTGTTTAAGATAACTAAGGGAATTGATAGTTTTGATGCATCAACATTTTTTCTCTTTAATGGTGAGACTTGGGGACACAAATATCAATTTTGGCAGGGTAGGAGTCAATACTTCAGCTAAGACAGCTATAATTTTCTAACAGGGTGGTTAGACTTTTAGATATGGTAGATGCAGTTAATTTAAGGGAAAGATTAATAAACATTTGAATGGTAAGGGTTGGCTTTGTTTTGTTTTTTAGTGTTGAGTTTAATTTAGTGGGTAGGACAGCCTAGATGAACCAAAAGATCCCTTTTTTGTCCTTTAATGTTATGTTACCATGGACAAATGTTTTTTGTAAGTAAACAGAATGATAGGTAATGTATTAACCAACAGGAACATATATATATTGATGTACAGAGGATTTAATGTCCTTTTTGATGTACATAGGATTTAGATGTTCCTTTTGGGGTACAATGGATATAATTACTTTGTTGATGTACAGAGGATTTAGGTGTCCCTGTTGGGATACAGAGGATTTACTTGTCCCTGTTGTTGTATACTGTATCTAAAATAATCTAGATCCACTGTACCCCAAAAAGGACACCTAAATCCACTGCACCAGAAAAGGGACATCTAAATCCACTGTACATCAACAGAAATACAGAACAGACAAGTAAAATTTGAAATGGTTCTATATATTTAGCAATCTACTACTCGCTCATAAAATCCATTTTCAACATTCTTGCAAAAATGACTGTCTGTCTAGACCTTTCTAACTGAAGAAATATTCTCCACAATATTAACTTTTTCAAGCATTTTAGAACAGTTAGCAAATTTTGAAACATTACTGCTAAATAGTGATTAAATGTATATTTAATTTTACAATTTACAGCCAAAAATGTTCTCCAAAGAAAAAGTTTACTGCCACTATTATGGGAAAAAAAGAATTTTAAGATCAAGCACATATTGTGAACAAATACCTTGAACTACTCCATTCAACAATCACAGAAAAAATATTTCATGAACCTTAAAAACTGGCTAATGTTTTGTTTTAGCAATAAACATAACCAGATGCATATTGTAAACAGAAACTTTAATGTATAACTAAGTGATAAACAATGCAATTTTGGACATACTATGAAATGTGAATCTCATTATTAATTAAATGATTTGAATTCTGACTGAAAGATTTTAAATAACTGATAGATATATATGTAAAACAGCTCACCTTTGGCTATGTCATATAATGCTTTTTGGTTCACAAGACCATATACAATATCCTGATTTAGAATTATTTGTTGAATACTTTTTTTTTTCATATTGCACTTCTTCAAGTTCTTGAGTTGAAATGTCTGGAATGTATCTGTTACAAAATAATCATCTAGTAGATAATTAACAATTTCTATTTCCTTATGTAAGTATGTTATCAAAAATATTGATTAATCTTACTAAATGTTAGCTTTTCTACCTTAAGTACAAATTAGTATATGGTATAAAGTAGCTATAATTATGTAAAAGATCTACAAAAGAATTTTCCAAGCAAAGTAAATTTCTATGTATAACTTAAACAAAACAAGGTCACAACAGCATGAGAAGACAGCAGTTTTCAGGTATATTTCTAACCCAGAGAACAAAATTGATTGCAATAACAAGTTTTTAACTCAGTTATGAAAGTGTACTGTACATCAAGCTAAAGTTGGTAAATGGAAACTCATAGAAATAATGCTCTTGAGACTACAATTTTACATGAGAGTAAAGTAAACATGGATCATAAGTGTTCCATTCAATAAGAAAGTCTAATAATTTAAAAAATTAGAGAAAATAGAATGAAAAAAAATATTATACCTTCTTTAAAGGCCCTATATAGGTTTTTATTTTTAAAAAGTTTATAACAGCATTTTGATCAAATATTTTTGCATAATGTAATTTTACACTTATTACACTAACCAATATGATACGTTTTACCACCACACTTACAAAATAAATACAATCACAAGCTTAACAAACACAAATTACACAAGTAAAATTTTGGTACTTGTCATTAAATAATAAAGAAGACAAGAAAACATTAGTCATTTCAAATTTTCAAAATATTTCTAAATAATAATTTTAATTTATTATTCAAAAAACATTCAAATGTAGTGTAAAAATCACATCCACTATCATACCAATAACCTTGTCCATTTGTGATACTGGGTATTTACATGGAGTAGATAACACTGGTGGTACTGAAATTCATGTGCTGTATTTATACTCTTTTGTACTTGTACTTTTTTCTGTGTTTCTCAAATGCAAATGGCATAAACAGAGAACTGATACTTCTTTTCTAATTTACTGATATTATGCAATTGCAACAACGTAACAGCAACACAAAAACGAAATTAGGTGGCAAATTGTAAAAATCTATAAAATTTCATGCAGAAGAAATTATAAGTTCACAATTTCAATGGTTAATAAAATGTGAAGAATTTGCGAAAAGGAATAAAAACAACTCACTCTGTTATTCTTAATTGTTTTTTAGAGGTTTCTATATAATAAATTAATATAAACATAATATCAATAAATAACAACCAGTTATACGGAAAGATATGTGACAAGTCTACAAACTAACAAAGTACATTATAGTAATTTATTAGTATAGTATAGTAAATTAGCATTACTATTAGTATAGAAGTAATAATTAATACTAATAGTAAATTACTTTT